TGAGGTCACTGGGAATCTCCTCAGCCAACTGTGTCAATCAAGAGTGTCTTTAATTTCTCTCATCTGATGTGGCTTCATCCAATTTGGCTTGATTCACAGCTTTGCTTTGTTGTGAAACTGTGGCATAAATAACGGCATCTATATGATTAAAAAGACAAAGGAAAAAAAGTACAACTAGTTAACATTCAAAGAGTTCCATAATGATGAAATCCATAATGATCCATAATGAAATGAAAGCATAATAATATGTAAAGAACATATTCAGGTTTTCTCAAAAAACAACAAAAGTATCACAAACCTTTGCATGGAAAACACAATGAAGCTTCTATGTCGTAAAAGCTCTTTAATTGAATGAATTGTCTTAGTTTGCTTATCTTATCTGGAACTGATTAACAGGTGTTATTAACACTGGGCTACACTGAGGTCGACTGTTGCTGAATATTGTCAAGAAAAGTCATAACATATGATGAATAACAAATAGTTTGCAATAACCATGTATGATTCAAAGCTACTACACATGTAACTTCTTGCTTCTTAATCAAGCTTAAGCAAAAAATTGTCAAAAAAATCCTTAAATATGATCACAGGCTACAGCAATAAATCACAAACAAAATGTGAAAAAAGAGCAACAAGTTGGGAAATAATTGTGTATATATACCTTCTGTTAGAACAGAACTGTAAAATATACACTTCTTACATTTTCAGTTTTACAGTTTATGTATATACAGCACTGTACAAAAGTCAGAGACCACCCTTTATTACATTTTTAGAAGTACAAGTTATTCATTTTTAGGAGATATTTCTGAGGAGATTAGATAAGTACATAAGGAAGGAGGAAATCAAAGGAAAGCAAGTGAACAACAAGAGTTTCTGGATACAGAAAAATACCCAGTAAATGGAGTTCTAAACAACCGTGCAAGACCTGGCAGACCACCAACACTGTCTCCACCATATAAACAGCACATAAAGCTTTCATCTTCGAAAGAGAAGAGAGCTTCACTTATGCTTCAGATCTGAAACACCCACAAGTAAGAGCCAGAAACCGGAAGGTTTACAGGTTCAAATCCTAGGACTGCTCGGGTGTTCCTTAACCCCCCACGGCTTTGCTGATGATGTTACATACATACACCTTCTAAACCGCTTATCCTTCTGGGTCGCGGTGGGGTGCTGGGGTCTATCCCAGCTGTCATTGGGCGGAAGGCAGGATACACCCTGGACAGGTCGCCAGTCCATCACAGGGCAGACAGACAGACATATACAATCACACACACACCTAGGGGCAATTCAGCATGTCCAATTGGCCTGACTGCATGTCTTTGGACCGTGGGAGGAAACCGGAGAACCCGGAGGAAACCCACGCAGACACAGGGAGAACATGCAAACTCCACACAGAAAGGACCCCGGTCGCCCGGCCGGGTATCGAACCCAGGCCCTTCTTGCTGTGAGACGACAGCGCTACCCACTGCGCCACCGTGCCGCCGCTGATGAGCTTGTACTATTTAATTAGGAACAGTGTAATTTTGAAGGATCAATCAAAATCCATCCTTACACTGTGAGAAGACTCACTGCTGTGGGTCTGAAAGGATGTTGACTGAGAAAAGAACCAAAAATTTAGAAAAAAGATTCAGCTGGTGTTCTCAGAACAGCGCACTGGCCACCCTGCAGTCCAGACCTCAACATCATTGAATGTGTTTGAGGTTACTTGGAATGTGAGAAGCAGAAAGTGCAGTGAACAAGACTGGACTGAGGAGTGGAAAAATATCTCAGAAGAACTAAAAGTCACCTGACAAGAATTGAAGCTGTAATGAAGGCATAGATTGGATGCACTAAATACTGAAAAATTCATATCATATTCAGTTGTTGAGGCTTACTTTTTTTTGTTAAATATGTTTCCTGCTTTGTCTCCTGTTACTGTAAAATGAGGGGTGGATTACCGCTCAGGCTATCCTAGGCTGCAGACAGGATATTGGGGCCCACTGATTGGCCAGAAAAACTTGAGACCTCATTGGCCCATTACACTTATAAACACTACATGATTTCAGGACTTGTTAGTTTGGAAAGGTTCGTAGGTCAGTTCTAAGTGTTGGCAAATTGTACAGCATTGTTTGTTTGCTCCTGCAAGTACGTGTGTTGGAAATTATGGTCTGTAGGCTTGATGCAAATTTCACTGTTCATGATAGAAAAGCCAGGTCCCGCTGCTAAATCAAATGAAGAAAACAAGACAGCGGCAGAGCCACCAACAGCTGCCAGGGCCTCCACAACTCTACTGCTGCATCGGGGCTAACATTAACAGACGCTGCACAAGAGGGGGCAAAAGAAACACTGACAGCGACAGCAGCTACCGCTTCTTACAGCTTGGACCCAGCATACTGGACTAAAATTGATTAAAAGATGCAGGCATACTGGGCCCAGAATCGTGTCAGGTCATCAACATAAATACCAGAAGATTCATTTCTCTAAAACGCCTGTCTAAACAAAACTGGCAAATGGTGAGTACATATAAAGAGAGTGGCTGCCGTTTTCACTGTACAAGGGTAAGGTTAGTGTTTTCACTCTTAGACTGCTTATGACTTTGCTGGTGACCAACATGAATGGAAAACATTCTTTCCAAACTGGCACTGGTGGAAAATAAACCAAGGTCAACAATGGATCACAGCAGGCTCAATCACCAATTGCCTGGATGTTGATAGAGTAACATTATTTCACCAGCCTGTTTAAGCAGCTCACAGATTTGATGTGTACTGATTTATCAGCTGCATTACTGTACTTGGTTACTTTTCAAGCTTTAGTGTCTGAGTGGGCTCGCACATACACTTCTGACGCTCATCATTCTTTGTTTCCGTTTCACCTGGCCGTATACTTTGTATTTTCTTTTTCTGGTATTGGATAGATTGGATGTTCCGCCACAGTGTAAAATGAATAAATTGTACTTAATGGCAATTTTGACTGGAAATAAAAAAAAAAAACCTAAAGATTATCTGACCTTTGCCCAGTGCTTTATGAAATACAGTCAGTGATATATATGATTTCACACAGAGGGGCAGAGGAGCACAAAACATGAATTGAAGTGGATGCAGTGTGCACTCTGAATGTGTCTTAAAATAACATTTACCAAGCCTTTGGCTAATCACACAAACTGTGCATAGAATTGTGTAATAATTGTGTTGGCTAGTGAGGCTCAAGGTTTAAATGGTGCAGTAAAATGGAGTAGCCGTCAACAAGCTCAAAAATATATCAATGATGTAGCAGCAGTGAATGCATTCAATAGATTATTAAGAGACTTTTAGTTAACTGCGTGAATAAAAAGTTGTTTCTAATCTGCTGAATTCAGTTGTTTTTCATTCTGTTTGGTGTCCAAGTTAATATCTGTAGATGTTTAACCTGAGGAGTCACTGAACATGTAACAGATCTAATACAGACCATCTCAACATCCTCAACAAGCTGTTATAGAGATGCTGGTGACAACATTCTGTAACAAGAGCTTAACTGGTTTAGGTTGTGGTTAAGGTTAGAGTTAGGATTAGGGCCAGGGTTAGTGTTAGGGTTAGGTTTTGGGTTGAGGTTAGGGTTAGGATTAGGGCCAAGGTTAGTGTTAGGGTTAGGTTTTGGGTTGAGGTTAGGGTTAGAATTAGGGCCAGGGTTAGTGTTAGGATTAGGTTTTGGGTTGAGGTTAGGGTTAGGATTAGGGCCAGGGTTAGTGTTAGGATTAGGTTTTGGGTTGAGGTTAAGGTTAGGATGAGGGCCAGGGTTAGTGTTAAGATTAGGTTTTGGGTTGAGGTTAAGGTTAGGATTAGGGCCAGGGTTACTGTTAGGTTTTGGGTAAGGTTGGGTGAGGTTAGGTTTTACTTAATGGAAGGGAGATATTAAGTTTACTTCATGTAACAACAATACATCTACTTAATGTATTTGATGTATCAACAGTTCATCTTTGAGGTATTTACTCCGTTGTATTCAGATGCTTCACTACTGTTACTTCACTGTTACTTCACTGATATGTTACTGTTACTCTGTTAAGAGTTTATTAATCATCTACAAAGGACCACTCAAAATAAAGTGTTACCACAAGTTCAGTGTCAAAGAGGTAAGAGTGTTAAAATAAAATGTCTTTCTCAACAAAATGTTCTGCATGGATTTAATTCTTATTTGGGAAATAATAACATAAAGTCAATGCCATTGGAGTCATTAGGTGCACTCTGAAGGAATTCTTAGAGTAGCAGTATTTTAGTGTCCCACACTCTCTAGAAAAAAGGTACAAAACTGCCCCTCTTGTCACTGCAGTGGAACTCTCGAGGGTACATCTCAGTATCTTTAGTCAGGGAACATAATTGTTCCTTAATCCATTGAAATTATATTTTCTAAGTTGTATTTTACCTTATTTGCTCTGTTTTAAAACATTAGGTTATGAAAGGGTACAAATATGTATTTTCCACTGAGAAAAAAGTGAGTAAGATATACAATTGGATCTTAAAACAACTGTTGTACCTTTTGGGGTTACATTTACATTGTTTGTACCTTGGTGAAAGAAAAATGTATCTTTATTTCTAATAGTGCAAGCAAAACTGACAACCGCTAGTGGCCACTGGTCACCACCTATTTTTTGTGCAATCCTCTATTAAATGTATATGTATGAGTGAGAGAAACTGTTGGTGCAAACAGCTTCTAGGCTCATATCCATCCTGAACAACTTTTTCTAGAGTGCAGCTCTAATCAGGCCTTTTAGAAAGTGAATAACGTCTGTAGGAATAAGAATTATTATATATAAGTTTGACATCATCTTCTGTATAGACAGTGTTCTCACATTGAGTGGGACCTATGCAGGTTTGAATGGAAAATGAAAAATGAAGCCTTTATTATAACTGTAGACACAATCATAAGTTTCCAAAGTTATATTGTCTGACAGCTATACAGCCAGTTTTTACACAAATAGTAAAAGCAAGGAGTGAAGGAGGGTGTGATAACCCTATGGTCTGCTGGGAGGAGTGAGGACACTGGGAGCAGGGTATGGTGGCACACAGCATTCTTTTTATTCCACAACACAAACTTTAGCTTTTCAGCTTGTACAACAAATAGGAACTGCATCACTTATGACTTTTCATGCTTGGTTCTGTTCAGCTCGCTCTGCGTCTCTCCTGGTCTCATTCTCTCCGTTGTCTCCAGAATTCTAATGAGAAAAGACATGACTATAAAGAGGCAGAAACAACACACAGGTGAACACCATCAGCTGGTTCAATGTGAATGACTCTCCATCCTTTATATGATGCTCAACCACGCCCCCTCCTCCAAGCTTCAATATAACACACCATTCCATAATGTTCTACAGTTCCTTTAAGATCCTAAAATGCTCTGGCTGATTTACCATGACATTAAAAGCAAATAGCATGGTGGTCACACATTTGCTCCTTCATAAATGAGGATTACTGGCATGTTTTACCGCTTGGGTGATGTGAGGTGCTGCCACGCTTTTATCTTATTTATGAGTGCCAGTACTGATGCAAGTAATTTGACGTTATTCATATACATCCACTCAGCTGATAAATCAATATTTTTCAAAGGCTGTTCTGTTTGGACAGAGCATTATGGTGAACCTTTTAATGAAACTAAAGTTGTCTTGTATTACCTTTGAAACTAAGCGGCAACATGTCACGTGATCACATGGAATGACATATTTCAAAATGACTGATTTCACTGCATCAAGAAAATAAGACAGAAGATGGTTTATTGGGCAGTAAAAGAGGAGAATCACTGACTGACTCATGATTGAGGTTATTTTCTGTCATTTTTCTGAAACACAATAACAAATGTGAGGTTTCTCAATGCTAACATTTCTGGACCCGGCTGTCTTAACTAACCAGCCAACAGTAACATCTGCTTTGACATGGAAGTTATGGAACTGAAAAGCTGTTTTTCTGACAGAAAACTGTGAAGACAGATAATGACAAATGTTTACATTCACACGGAACATACCCTGGAAATAAAAAGGCAATACCTCTTAATCTCTCCTGGTTGCGATATATGACGATGAAGGCAACAATAAGAATGATGACAACCACTACGCCAACCACGACACGCACTGTTAAACCTGAAAAACAAAAGCAAGAACGACTGATCCTCATTCACCAACCATTCTTAAGAAGGAATGTCTTCTTAAAACCCACTGATGCGTTTTTCACAAGGATTCTGACATTCATCAATGTTCAATTTTAGGTTTTGTTTTTAGGTAAGAACAGAATCCACACACACTGAAGAGCACAACGGTGTGAAATATTCTGTGGTTTAAGAACGCGTCCTCAGTCTGATGAAGACTTTTCCTTAGAACTTTTCTCAAGAACAGATTTAAGAAAAAACATAATAAGATATTGGTCTATGAGGCCCATTGTTATGAATTTTACAGATAAAGTACAAGATGGGTTCAAATAACAGGATGTGTTTGTGTTTGAGCATGTACGTGCACACCATCATCACAGAGTCGTTCCAGTTCTTTCAACTCCAAAACATCCGTCTTCCAGCTGGCTGGGTTGCTATGGTTACAGATGATGGTGCTGCCACTGACAGACAGGGAAATGGCAACACCTCCAGGTAATGTTACTTCCTTTTCCTCACAGGTTTCTTTGTAACAGCTGGAGCTGATAGAGAGGTCATGACCTCTACAGGTGAGAGTGATGTTGCAGGTGTCTCTGCTTAGCTGGTGAGTCAGGACTGGAGCCTCCACTGGATCTGAGGTAGAAGATATACAGACACATCACTGTAATGCTGACAGTCAGTCAGTTATTGGCTCCAGCTCCCCCCACGACCCAGAAGGTTAAGCGGCTTAGAGGATCAAGTCAAGAGCAGACAGCTTGTTAAGACGAGTGAGAATCTGACATGAACTGTGTAGATCCATCAACAACTACAGTTAGTCAGCAGACAGTCCAAGGAAGGGAACAATATTAGGAAAGAAGCTCTGATGTTTTTGTTTTTTCCCGAGTTCTTTACTTGAACTTAATTGAATTGTTAGCTGATTTCCACACTTTTAAAAGGCAAATTTGTTCATCCGATACAATTTTCATGAATTGGCAAAATCTAATCTGCCATCACGTTTCCATCTCAGTTCATTAAAGTTAATTGAAATGAATTGTCTGCTGGCGATTTAACTTTTGTAGGTCCAAGTTATTTTTAAGTAGTCCATTTAAAAGTGGACAGTGCAGTGTCCTATTAGTTTGGCACCACACTCTGTAATAGAGAATGTTGCAAACCAAATAATAGCAAGGTTAGGAAGGTTAACCAGTTTTTAAGCAAGCACCTATCCAAGATAGCATAGCCAAGGAGTAAAGACAACACAGAGAAGGTAAGTAAAACAAGAGGAAAAACACACCCAGAATGCAAATAGATACAATCTTTGAAAACAAGAATTCATCAAAAAAGTTCCACTAAGCCAAATAGTTGAGTGATGTGAGATAATTAATATTTTAAAGAGAAATTCTACTGATTTTTCAAATCTGCGTAATTCAATTATTGAGACGTAAAAAAAAAATTGGTCCACCAGAAAGTTACCCTAACTCCACCCCCTCACCCTGTAGGAAAATAAACATTTTACTAAACAACAAAACTTTTACTGTAAGATTGTATTTTGTAATTGTTGAAGTGCTTTTATTAACAAAATATAGTGTAATTTCACATACTAAACAACCAAACAAACAAACAAAAATAAATAAATTAATTAATTTAAAAATGCACAAATTGAAACCTACCTACCTTCTCTAATAGTACACTATTTCACTTTTTGGACTTCCACAAACATTTCACTTTGGCCCCCTAAGACAAAAAGTTTTGGCACCTCTGCATTAAATGCTTCAGCTGTCTGGTTCCTATTACCACCAATGTTAAATGGTCTGACTCTGTAGTTTCTCCGAATGGAGCGTTTCACATCAAACCACTCTAAATGACTTTGTGTACATCATAACCATTTAATTAGGCTGAAATTTTGAAAAATCAGTGTAATTCCCCTTTAGGTACAAAAGATTTAACTTATTTGGGTATGTGTCTCCTGGTAGCAGGTGGAAAAACACAGTTTATTCCCTTTGACCTGACTGACTGATTTAATGCCTGAGAAAATTACATTCTTTCAACACTAATATTTTAAATACATTTTAAAAATGGGTCAATTTAAATAATATCGACTTGATTTGTTTTCTTAACATGCACCAATTCCACATTACTTTTTATCAGGGGCGGAGCCTCTGGACCCCGCCCACCAAACATAAAAACATATAAAATCTATATCATATTCTTAACAGACGTGTAGTTAATGTTAAAATAACTAAAGATATAAATGACAGAATAACTTCTAATGTTTTCTGAGCAGATTTGATGCCCAGTGACATTATGAGGAAACCAGGCTGTCTGCTAACAGCACTCACTCACACTGACCACAAAGAGTTAATCACACATCAGCAGCACTGAAGAGAAAAAAAAAACCCACAAAAAGCTCATAAAGCTCACTTTAACTCAACTTTGGTTTAACTAACTAACTTTTGCTACACAGATTTGCAACTTTGCATGTTTGGCCTTCAGAAAAATTCAATATTGAACATAGTAAATAATAGAGAGTGATAACACAGTGTGTTTCCTCTCATGGACTGATATTATATAAGACTTACCCAACACAGAGAGTGTGTAGTTAGCAACAACTGTGACTTTGTCAGCAGACACTTTTGCTTCATACAGTCCACTATCAGTCTTCTGTAAGTTCTTCAGTGTCAGACTGTAGGTTTCCTCATTGAACTCCACTCTGGCTTCATAATCAGAAAAGTATGTAATATTTTTAGATTTCTTTTCATAGTTTAGAATATTATTATCTGATTTAAACAGCCAGAATAAGTCATCAAAGTCCGGCAAGGGTTCCTGTGTGTCCAGTTGAACAGAACTGCCAACCAATCTGAACACATCACAGGACGCTGTGTATAGAAAATATTAGAAAATAAAAGAAAGATATTTTGTTACATTGTGATTTCTTTATCATGATCTGTCACTGTGTGGCATGTTAATGACTAGTAAAACCTTTATACTGTCTGTTAATACAAACTGCAGATAAACAAGCATTCAGACACTTTTGTTTTTGTTATTTAATACGCAGTCATATGCAAATGTTTGTGCATCCTTCATCAAATGATGTTTTGTTAATTTTCTAAATAAGTCTAAATAAGTTACACATCCTCTACAGAGAACACAATGACTTAACACATCCTCTACTTCTGCACATTTTAATGAATTTTATGTGTAAATTGTGTTTTAAATGTATGGAGGATTAAACCTCCTTTTAATTCACTTAATAAGCTCACCAGAGACATTAATGCACACTTGCTACAACCACTTACACTCTTTATTTGGCAGAGAATATTAACATACATTTTAACCTCAATAGTTCAGAGAATTGCTTACCTGTGACTGAGATCAGAGTGGAGAGAACAAAGATCAGCTGCAGCATCATCGCCTTTGCAAACAGAGTGACATACTTTCTGTTTTGCACTGATGGATGATATTCTGATAGACCCTCCTCACTCCCTCAGAGAGGTTTTCTAATGTGCTGATGTTCACTTTACAATGAAGGAGGGAGTTTTGCCTCAGAGAGGTTTTTATGTACTGATGCAGAACTTTTAAGTAGAAAGTGACAAAATATTTAACATTAAAAATGCAATTTAATACAGTTTACATTGTTTAATTTAACAGCACTGAGCACATTAGGACTGGAAACAACAGATTTCACAGAGTTTATTTCTATTGAATTAGTCACTCTCAGTGATCATTCAACTGTAAAGCATCACTGTAAAGCATCATTATCTTATGTTTTATTGCGTGCCTGACAGACATTGACATGCTTTTATCACTGCCAATCTGCACATGTTGGTTTTCCTGTGGTTAGTCAAGTTTTTCTTCATTAGGTTCTCACGCTGTTCTGCATATGGAAATCAGTAAAAATGCCACACTGCAGCACAGATGCTGAGTCACTCCACAACACAGAATACATTTTTAATTGGGGTTTATTCTGAACTGAAACTGTATTTTTCTTGCATTTCCTCCACCTGATCCTCTATTGTGTGATGCAGTCTGCCTCCTGTGATGACATGTACTGCTGTCTCATAAATGAATGCAAGTAGACAGTCTAACTAAGCTCTTTAGCTAGCTCTAAATTAGCATAGTGACTGAATATATGTGGCTCTATTAGACTCTTAACTAACTTACACTTGCTCACACACTCATACAAATACCTACAGTTACCCGGAATCATAAGTAAACTCTAGCAAACTTTACATTTTCCTTTCAAAATGTGAAGCATGAGCAAAGACGACTCCTAGCGGCTAGTGTAAACGTTAATAATGTTAGCATTATAGCTTCCAAGCTGGCTCACACGCATGTTTACTTGTTAGTCTTTTGTTTTTTCCCTTTCTGTCTACCTCACTAATTAACAGATGCAACCCAACAAGTGGTTGCGTGGTGATGCGTTCGGCCCTCCATTCATCCTCTAAACGGAATCATGGCTGAGTGAATGGGGCGGGCGTTTGAAAATGATCCGGCAACATGTGAGGGGAGGAGAGCATTGTGTGTCTGTGAGGCCTTTAGTTTTTTGGTGGTTTGGTGACTTATGCTGTTATTATAATTGTAGCCCCCTTAGTTTTAGTTCTGCCTTGGCCTCACTGTCTCTCTCTCTCTCTCTCTCTCTCTCTCTCTCTCTCGTACTATCTCACTCTCTCTCGCTCACTCTCTTTGTGTCTGTCTTTCGAGCGTGATGAGTGGACAGGCAGTTTGGGTGCGTTTCACACAGTAGTAACACACTTTGTATAGACACACTACGTAAGAGGCGAGTGCCACCCACTGTATTTTGTGTAGATTAGCTCCTTTTAGGCAAGTTAGAGGTTTTTTATTACTTTTGTTGCTTTGGCACCATCCATAGTCCACCATAGCAGCTAGCTTTGCATACAATGTTATTACTCTAAGCCTTGTCAGTACTGATAGCCAATTTAAATCTTCAATCACATTGAGCTTCATAGATTAATCCTGTTAGCCAGTTACCAGTTCATCTTGTTGATTTTGACTAGTTGGGTGTCTTATTGTTGGCTGTCTTATGTCGTTTTTCCATTTCACTACTTCACTTTAAAGGTGTATGTGTACATGTTTACTATTGAACAGTAAAGCTTTGTCTAAACACGATACTCCCGTTGTCCGTGTCTCTCCCTTCGACATCACATACTCCATGTTACTTCCCCTTTACCCCTAGGTAACATCACACGGGCACGTAACACAGCTATAATAAACTGTGTAACACCATCCATGTCTTTAAAAGGATTTGGTCAGTCTTTCTCTGATGTGGACGGTGATGACTGCAGACAGCATGAGGGTCAGAATGATCCAGCAAACACACAGATACACCAGCAGAGAGAGACACTGAACCTGAAACACACACAATAAAACCCAGTGTTGGATTAAATATAATGACCAAATAGAAAAGAATTAATTAACTTGTTTCATTCTTCTGTCAGTTCTCTCTCCTCTTAAATTAAATGTCATATTTCTAATAGGCCAGCTAACAGCACTCACACACACTGACAAGAAGCAGTTAATCACAAATCAGCAGCACTGAACAGGTAAAAAAAAAAAAAAACACAAAAAGAGCTCATTTTATCTCAGCTCTGGTTTCACTAACTCACTCTTTCTCTTTGATGTTCAAACTCCAGTGACCAAAAGGAAAGTGACCATCAAAACAGAGAGTTTAACAGATGAGAAAATGACTGAAAATAAAATGAAATGCGTGAGAGGATGAGGAAGATCAGATGATGAAGAAACAGACAACAAAATGAGTCACAGCAGGATGAGGCAGTAACAAGAGAGATGTGTTGTTTATTTAGTGGCGATGGTGTTTAGATGTTGTGAAGAAAAACTCCGCCGATACTGAGTTGCCAGTAAAAGGTTTATTACATAGTAAAACAGTATCATATCAAGCACTATAGAGTACCTGAGAGAGGATATGTGCCAATTCTAAATGTCCCCTCCCGAACAGACTGACCAACAGCATATATATATGGTTCTTGTTGTTGAAACAGGAGACAGAGCATATGGTTCTTTTTAAAATGATCTCATCTATTTGGACCTAAGAGAAGAAGGGAGAAAGTGAGAGGCCCTCTCCCAATGGACCAAGGGGCCCCCCAATTCACATTCCTAGCCCCTGCACACACAGAGCACATAGGGCACTCCTAGATACTACCACCTCAACTTATTGAAAGAGTGTTTTTACCTTCTTCTATCAAAGGTTCCTTTTTTTAAAATATACTTCAGATGAAAAAGTACAAATAGAGCAGGAGGCCTGAATTCAGTAAACAAAGGTGTTAAAAATACAAACCATCAATAACATTCAACATACAAATCTAATCAAATGAATCCTTCAAACCTGCCTATTCAATTCGTACTGAAATGTGACGGGTCAAAGAGGCCCTTTTGTCTCCTTATTAAAATTTTGCCGTACCTGCTGTTGGTGATTGGTGGTCCAGCTATAAATTTACAGAGGGCCAAGAATTAGTAATTCAAGGAGAGACCACTTTCAAATGACAGTAAAAATCTTCCCTCCAAATGGGTGGGCTTAGTTATCGTTAACTTTATGACAAGTTCCGCCCGCTGTGGAGACATGAAGCTAGGGAAAAAAGCTAGCTAGCTTGTTGGCTCATGATGGAAGCTGAGAGTAACGTTACCGCTAGTGAGGGGGACGTCCCTGTGAGTTTATCAATACCGTTTTCTAGATTATCTCTTAATGAAAAAAAAGTTGGAGTTCCTCAGCAAAAGACAACCTACACTAAAGCTTATTTGGAGTAAAAAGGCTTTTGAAAGGTTCAGAAAGGTTCAGATTTAAACGCCAGTGATTACACCATGATACCCCAGGATCGACCAAGGAGCAAAAGCTCTACTGCTGGGACTGCTTGCTGCTTGGCGTGGAGAGGGGGTCTTGGGACAGAGATGGATTTTGGGATTTAGGAAGTTTATCCAAGTCAGCCCATCACCGTCAGAATGCTCAAGAAGCAATTGTTGATTTATTTAAAAGCCAAGGATCAGTTGCATGACCCCACCATCACCCACTTCATTCAAACGGACAGGAGGATTGATCTCATTATGTTTTTTCCATTGTTGTATTATGTGCAGGTGTTATTTTGGCATACGCTCGTCCCCGAAGCCATTACTTCCATTCAGTTTAGCCGCTTGCAAACTTGCATACTTTTATCAAAGTTTCAATCAATCTGCAGGTTGCTGATTTAAATGGTGTCCGGTGTCTTGTCTGGCAGCTGGTCTGGGGAGAGGGCCCACTCTTATTCTCTGTTATGGCCTGACCTTAGACCGGGTTGTAATACTTCATTATTCATTCAAGTTCTGCTCTGATCAAAGAGTAAGTTGTTTAAAATCTCACAGGCCGCTGTGCCCGCTGATTTTATTCTGGCCATCGCTGACACTGTTTGTGTAATGTGAAGGTTTATTTGGGAAAACGGCTGTTATGTGGAATTAGTGGTCATTTTTCTGACACATGTATTTGACTCTCATGGCTGCTTGGCTGAGTGGACGCTGTTGTGATGCGAAAGCTTGTATGAAATGTTGTTGGTTGTGTGGTACGTGGCAGTGACTGTCATGCGTTTTCTGAAGAGCACATGATGATGCAATTATTTGGAAGGAGGATTAGCATTTTGCCCATGAAATTAGCTGTTCTGTTTGTGTGCTAACCCTGTCTGTGCTATTTGCTTGTTGCGTTACTAGGGCTGAACTATCGTCTTAATCTTTGCTTCTTAACTTTGGCAGTACTTTAGGAGGGGCCTGCCAGTAAACTAGGCTGAGGGCCGAGGTTTAAGAGTCATGGTTCCCTACTGCATTCAACAGTGTATAGTGTAGTTTGACACATTTTGCTGTTCATACAATCTTACAAGGTGAAAAGAAATGGGAATATGAGAAATTAGGTTTGTGTAAAAGACCACGTCTGAAATTCTTTTTTATTCTTCATTCTACACCCTATACATTCCCCTCTCTCCCTTCAATTTCTTCTGACAAAACTTTGCAAAATGTGTTTTAGAGTTGCACCGAAAGTTTCCAGTTTATTTCTATGGAATTAATCACAATCAGTGATCATTCAACTAATTCATAGAACTGTGAAGCATCATTGTGTCTCCCTGGTATGTTTTATTGCATGCCTGACAGACACTGACATGCTTTTTTCAATGCCAGTCTGCTGATGCTGGTTTTCCCGTGGTTAGTCTAGTTCCTCTCAGCTGCTCACGCTGTTCTATAAATGGAAGTAAAAATGCCTCACTGCTTTTTTAGTTTTACAGAGTTTATTTCTATAATAATAATCACCTTTGATTAATTAACTAAGTAGTTGAACTGTAAAGCATCATTGTGTCTTCATACTATGTTTTTACTGTGTGCCTGATAGACATTGAGGATTTTTATGCTTATCAGTTCCTGTTGGTTTTCCTCT